CCACCCCGGAAGTCAATCATTCTTTAGAACTACATTCTGGATTGAATTTAAAAAATAGCCTGCAGTTCTTCTCCTGACCTCTAGGTGGCCCCATGGGGCCCCTGGTCCCACCATCACCAGGAAGCCCATGTGCATAGCCTCTCCCCCAGCCACCTTCCTTTAGCATCTACTAATCACCTTTGCTTGAATTTTACTGGTGGGTGCAAAATGATAAAAGAAACCCTTCAACTGATGGATGGGATGATCAGAACTGAAACGATTTAAGTAACTTGGGTTAAGGGGGTAGGATGGAATGGCAAAATTTTAGTTGGACACAGATTAGGAACCATCTGTCATACCTTTTCAGAGCAAGCTCCTCAGGCTAGTGCCAGAACACTTTCCCCAGCTGTGAAACAGAAAAATCCCTTTAATAGGAAACAAGGACTTTCATTCCTATTGGCAACAGAGCTCTTTAAAAAATGCAAATATTAACTGAATTTTCTGTTGAATTTCACAGCTTATAAAGCACTTTAAAATGCATCATTTCTTTGAGTCTTCATAGCCACCTTGGGAGAGAGAGATCCCCCAAGTATCGATAAGAAAACTGCGCTCAGAGCCCTTGATAGCTTCCCCAGGGTCACACAGCTAGTAAGAGCTTGCGCAGGGATTTTTAGTAAGTGCTTTATTGAGATACAGTTCACATAGAGAAGATTCACCTTTATAAAGGTGGATGAAGTTGTAATATGGATGTAGTTGTAAGAGTTTTTAGTATATTCATGCAGTATGCAACTATTACCACTAATTCCAGCACACTGCCCTCATCCTGAAAAAGAACCCCAGACCTCTTAGGCGTCACTATTTCTTCCCTGCTCCCACAGCTCCTGGCAGCCTCAAACTCCGCTTTCTATATGAATTTGCCTGAAATCATACAATATGTGGCCTTTTGAGATTGTTTTCTTTCACTTAGCATGATACTTTCAGGGTTCACCCATGTTGTACCATGTGACAACATCTCATTCCGTTTTATGGCCAAATGATGTTCCGTTGTGTGGATATAAACCACTTTGTTTATCCATTTATCAGTTGATGGACACTGGAGTAGTTTCCACTTTCAGGCTATTATGAACAGTACTGCTATGAACTTTTGTATACAAGCTTTTATGTGCACTTAGGTTTTCAGTACTCTTGGGTAAATACCTAGGAGTATAGTTGTTGGGTCATCTGGTAACTTTATCATTTTGAGGAACCACCAACCTGTTTTCCAGAGCAGCTGCGCTACTTTGCATTCCCACCAGCAATGTATGAGGGTTCTCATTTCTCTACATCCTCACCAACCCTTGTTATTATCTGACTTTTGATTATAGCCATCCTAGGGAGTGTGAAGGGGTGTGTCGTGTTTTTGAATTGCATTTCCCTGATGACTAATGCCAAACATCCTTTCATGTGCTTATTGGCCATTTATAGAGATTCTTTGGAGAAATATCTATTCACATCATTGTCCCATTTTTAAATTGGGTTTTTTGTCTTCTTGTCGAGTCGTAAGAGCTCTTTGTATACAGTAAACCTTATCAGTGGTTTCACTTTCTGTGGTTTTAGTTCCTGTGGTCAGCTGCGGACTGGAAGCAGATAATCCTCCTTCTGACGTATTGTCAGAAGGTCAGTAGGAGCCTAACGCTGCGTCCCAGTGCTGATGTCACTACGTCCCATCATGTAGGCACTTTATCTTACATCACCAGCAGAAGAAGGGTGAATCCTGTAAGCTATTTTGAGAGAGAGAGAGAGAGACCACATTCACATAACTTCTATTACACTATATTGTTATAATTGCCCTATTTGATTATTAGTTATTGTTATTAATCTCTTACTGTGCCTAATTTATAAATTAAACTTTATCATAAGTGTGCATGTATAGGAAAAAGTATAGGACAGTCTGCAATTTCAGGCATCCAGTGGGGGGTCTTAGAATAAGACAGATAAGAGGAGACTACTATATTCTGGTTATAAGACCCTTATTAGATATATAGTTTGCAACAATTTTCTCCCATTCTCTGGGTTTCACTTTCCTTTTTAAATGTACATAATACAGAATTTTCCACTGTAGCCTTTTTAAAATGTGCAGTTCAGCGGCATGAAATGCATTCACATTTTGTTCAAAGGTCACCGTCATCCACCTCCAGAACTTCATCTTCCCAAACTGAAACTTTAGACCCATTAAACAGTAATTTCCCATTCTGCCTTCACCCCTGGAAACCACCATTCCACTTTCTGTCTCTTTGAATTTGACTATTCTAGGTGTCTCATAAAAGTGGAATCCTATATTGGGGTGCCTGCATGGCAGTTGGTTACGTGTCTGACTCTTGGTTTCAGCTCAGGTCGTGATCTCAGGGTTGAGGGATCCAGCCCCGCATTGGGCTCTGTGCTCAGTGCGGAGTCTGCTTGAGATTCTCTCCCTCTCCCCCTTCCACTCAATGTCTCTCTCTCAAATAAATAAACAAATCTTTTTTTAAAAAAAGTGGAATCCTATAGTACTTATCCTTTTGTGACTGTCTTCTTTCACTCAGCATACTGTCTTACGGTGTTATCCATGTTGTGGCAGGTGTCAACATTTCATTCCTGGAGGTGGAATAATAGTCCATTGGATGTATATTCCTCATTTTGTTTATCCATTCATCCATAGATGGACACTTGGGTCTTCCACCTTTTGGCCCTTGTGAATAATACTGCTATGAACATGATTCTGCAAATAGGTGTACAAGCCTCTGTTTTCTGTTCTTTTGGGTGTATATCCAGAAGTGGAATTCCTGGATTATATGGTAATTCTGCTTTTAATTTTTTCGAAGAGCCTCCATACTGTTTTCCACATCGGCTGCATCATTTTTTGTGCCTGCCAGCAATGCATACAGGTTCCAATTTTTCTATATCCTCACCTTTTTTTTTTTTACTTTCTTGGTGGTGGTATTTGAAGCACAAAAATTTTTAAATTTTGATGACATCCAACTAATCTTTTTTTTTTACCTTTCTTTTTTTTTTTTGCTTGTGCTTTTGGTGTTCTAAGAACCATTGCTCAACCCAAAGTCACAAAGTTTGGCTTGCATATTTTCTTCCGCAAGTTTTGTAGTTTTAGCTCTTACATTTTTGTCTCTGATCCATTTCAAGTTAATTTTTGTATATGGTATGAAGTAGGGGCCCAATCTCATTCTTTTCCATGTGGATATCCAGGTGCCTCAGCAACTTCTTTCCGCATTGAATTATCTTGGCAACCTTGTCAAAATCAATTGATCAGAAATGTAAGGGATTATTTCTGGATTCACTCTGTTCCATTGAGTGGAATATCCTAGTGTCTGTGTCTATTAAGCAGGATTTCCATTAAAGCTTATGCTCTCCAAATCACACATAGCTCTCCTTCTACCATATAAATGGGTTTAATCTGAGTGTTCTTTCTTACTCCAAAAGGAAGTGTTTCAGAATAATGCCACAGACTTGATGATACATGAACACAGGTTGGGGGGCGCCCCTGCTGGAATCCAAGGTCTTCACTGGCCCGCATATAGCGTGAGGTTGTCAGGCCTCTACCACTGCTGTGGTGTGTCCTTCCCTGTGGTCCTCTCTTTCCCTCTGCTGAATAGGGAGTGGCCTTGTTGGAAGGCTGGAAGGGGATTTGGGTAGAAAAGATATACTTCCCAGCATGTACACCCAGCTCAAAGCCCAACACCAAAGGGTGAGTCAGGGCACTTACTTGATGGCAAGAACAGTGAAGGGTCTGAGATTTGGTTTCACCCTACTTGCAAGCTAGCAAGTGAGCCTTACTATGTCATGGATGCTGGCAGGAGACATGAGACTCCTGGGTCAGAGACAAAGGACGCTATGACTCCTAGCACAGCAAGCAGCATATTAGTGTCGGCTTCCCAAAGCCCCACGGGGTTAGATGTGATGGGCCCACGTGCATGCTTTGCATATAGTGAGTGGGGGTCACAGCTGGGGAACAGGAGACCAAGGTCCCCATGTGTGCCAGCAGGAAACACTATAGCACACAAGCCAGTCTCCTGCACAGTGGGAACGAGCAGTCACCTAGTGATCACGCGGTGTCCTTTTGCCTGTTTATTGTGTGTGTGACCATCCTGTCACTATCAGAGGAGGGATAAGCCTTGTAGTCTGGTGTACTCAGCCGGAATGTGCACAGATGCTCAGGGCCCCGAGAGTCCTACAGATGGGGAGCCTTTAGAGAAGGGATGTGACTTGCTGAGGGCCACACAGGAAAAGCCATGTCTCGAAATTTCCAGGCTCCCGGTCCAGTGCTTTTTCCACCACCCTCCTCTGCCCTTCTGGGTTTCCATAGGACACCTGGCATTTGTGCAGCAGACCAGCCTCACCGGGAGGCATCGAGGTGGGGGGACAGGGGAAGCCCAAGTCCACCCCTTTGTTTCTCTGTGTCTGCCAACATCTTTTTAAATCTAGGCTGCTTTGGAGATGAGGAGGGCATGATGGACAAAACCAACCGTGTCAGATATGGTGGAGCAGGTCATTTAATTACCAGAACTGCAGTGGGTCTTTGAGTGGCCGTGTAGTTTGTCTAGTTGAAGGAAATGTCGGAAGGGTTAGGTGAGGAAACAGGAGATCAGTGAGAGTCCTGGAATAAAGGTTCACTGAACTCACTTGTCCAGGGCCCCACCCTCCTGCTCACACGCTACTCTGCCCTTTCTCACAAGCCTGTCCCCTCCCTCCAGACCCCAGGTCCCTTCCGAATCCTCAGACCCACAGCTCCCTATTGCCCAGAAGCTCTGACTCTCCCTGGGAAAGTTCTGGGCCCCTCCAGCAGGCTTCCCCACCTGCCATCTCCTGCCCCCCCCCCAACCCATTGTAATCCTGACCAGCTCAGCATTCACACGGCAGATTCATGTGTTTTCCTCCACTCCGCTGGGGTTAAGAGAGCCTCTTTGCTTCCATCCTGCCTCTCTCTCGTGCAGGCTCCCCAGGCAGATGGGCCTGCTGTGGGTTCTGTGCTCTTGTCGCTGGAGGCAGGGGTGCATGGTGTGAGCCTGGAGTCTTGCACCCTGTGAGGGTGTTCAGGGAGGCCCTGGGGTGAGGCTGGCCAGAGGCAAGGGGGGGGCGGGTTCAACCAGCTCCTTATGGCGCTTGCAGAGTCCCCACTGAATTCTGTTCTCTCTCTCTCTCCTCACCCGCCCCCGTCCCTTGGGGCAGCTCTTCCCGGCCCCCCTGCAGACCCTCTCCAGGAAGATTGTGCGGTCTAAGATGAATAGCACTCTGGTCGGAGTGTTCACCATCACCCTAGTGTTCCTGTCGGCTTTCGTCAACATGGTAGGTGGCTCCACCTCCCAGAACCTTCCCAGACTCTGGAGTTCTCCCTCCCCAGGATTTCTTATTAGGGCTTCACCTCAGGTCTCTGGAATCAGATTTGATTCCTAAAGCCTCTCACATAGACTTTTAGTTCCCTGCTCTCAAGGCTGCGGATCCAGACTCCGAGAAGTCCCCAAGGGAAGTTTGCGAGCCTACCCCCTCCCCTGGGCAGCCGGGCAGACCTCGTCAGTTCCTCAGCCTCCGCCAGGCTCCTCTCCTGTCCCCGCTCTGTGGCAGGGGGCACCCGAGCCCGGGGTCGGGGGGTGAGGGGATGAGCACCCACTGCCCTGCGGAGACGGGCTGCCCCGGCCTGGCCCCTGCGGCTGACCCTGCCCTCCCCTGCCCCCAGTTCATGTGTAACTCCAGGGACCTGTTCGGCTGCCTGGCGGACGAGCACAACATCAGCGCCAGCCAGGTCAACGCGTGCCACGTGGTGGGGTCGGCCGCCAACTACAGCCTGGGGGACGAGCGGGGCTTCTGCAGCAGCCCATGGCCCAACTGCAACTTCCCTGAGGTGCTGGCAGGGGGAGGCGTGGGGGGTGGTTCCGGGCGCAGACAGACACTCTCCCACTGCACTCCCCCTCTGCCTTCGGCGGCTCTGAGGGGGTCAGTGGGCTCTCAAGCTCGCAGCCGTCCCAGAGACCTCCCTTCCCGTCTCTCACGCCATGTGTGGGACACCAGTGAACAAGGCCAGCCTTCTCGTAGAACAGTACAACAGCAGGGCTGTCATTTATATAGTGTCGCAGGCACTGTGCCGAGGACTTGACGGCTTCCCTCATTCAGTCCTCAGACACAGTATCTTTTTTATACAGGTGACCCTGGGGCACAGAGAGGGTAAGTAACTTGCCCAGAGTCACACAGCTAATAAGGGATAGAGCCAGAACTCTCACCCAGGTCGTCTGGCTGTAGAATGCTTGGTCTCAGCCTGAGGGCAGAGCTGTTTCTGGACCCTCAGCTTTGGCAGCAGGCCTGCCTCAGGAGAAACGGCCCGAGCTCCTCTGCTGTGGGCCAGAGAGCAGGGAGGGAAGAAAGGAACCCTTTCTGCCATCAAGGTCACCCATTCAAAGTGTACAATTCTGTAGTTTTTAGTATATTCACAGATGTGTGCCACCATCAGCATCCTCATCTAATTAGAACATTTTCATCGCCCCCCTGAAGGAAATCTACCCCTAGGTTCTTGGGTTTAAGAACCATTGCCGAGAATGCTTAGAGAGCGGCATGCATTAAGCGCCTATGGTATGCGAGGTGCTTCATTCACCTTTTTCTTGGGGAGTGGCTTTCGAGCGACCAGCTGAGCCAGCCCAGGGCGTCTACTCCATGCACGGGGCAATCCCCACACCCCAGCTGCCTGGGGGTGAGACCAGAAGGGACTTCCCTAAACTAAATCATATAGGGCCACAGTCCCTCATCTGAAGGCTTCCAGGTCAAATGTATTTTGAATTTTAGAATTTTTCAGAGTTTAAAAGGGTGTTTCACACCCCCAGTGTAGTTTGGGCAGCACCTGATAATGACATACAGTAACATTTCTGCAGCAAAATGTATGCAGAGTCACAAGAAGCAGGACAAAGATGCTAATTAGTAGCACACAGTTGGGGCGGTTTTTGCCACCAAATCAGGTCAGCTCAGGTGTTGCCACCCTATCAGTCATGAAATACTTCGGTTTTCAGAACTTTGGATTTAAAGTTGCAGACCCGGGGCTGGGGCACCTGGGCTCCCCACAGTTCCTGAGGGCACCAGGCCCAAGCCACCAGGTGCTTTCATGTCGTGGAACTGTAGCCGTGAGCCCATGACATAGGAGCTTTTGCAGATGGGGAAACTGGGGCTTCGAAGGGTTGAATAAATGGCCCAAGTCCCACAACCAGTCCATAGTAAATCAGGGGTGAAACTCAGGTCTGCCCGAGCCTGGAGCCCTGCTCTAACCATGGGGTTGTATTGCCAACTGGCCAGACAGCCTGGAGCCCCATCTCCTGGTTCCTACCGGGGCCCTTCACTTTCCCTCACAAGTTTGCATCAGCAGAAACACCGGCAGAGTGGGCTTCGCCTGCGGCCAGCTCCGACTTGGGGGGGATGCTGGAGGGTGGGCCGGGGGAGGGTGGGGCCGGGCCGCTGAGGCTCGCCAACCTCTCTCCACAGTACTTCACCTACAGTGTGCTGCTCAGCCTGCTGGCCTGCTCCGTGTTCCTGCAGATCAGCTGCATTGGGAAGCTGGTGCTCATGCTGGCCATTGAGCTCACATACGTGCTCATCGTCGAGGTGCCCCGTGTCACACTCTTTGACAATGCTGACCTGCTGGTCACTGCCAACGCCATGTAGGTGGCACTGCCCCCATCCCCCACTGGGTCTGGGGCATTGCAGAGAGGCCAGAAGAGTGGGTGGCTGGGAGACTGGGCCATGGGGGGCTTGCAAGGAGAGTGTTCTGTTGCTCCCCAGCTGACCACCTGGGTAAAGCACCACAGTGTCTTATTTCCCTCTCTCCCTTCCCCAGTATGGGGCGGGGGGGGGGGGGGTGGCCTCGGGGTGACTAGGTCTTGCTGTCGTTCTGTTTCCAGTTTGCTACTCAGTCCTGCCCTCAGGCCTCAGTGAATTGTTCCTCATTTGTTCAGGGCAGCCTCTGATGAGCTGTTTTCACTTAACTCCATCTGCCTGTGGCACCTCAGGCTCAGAGAGGGGTCAAGATTCAACAGAGCTGAATAGCAAGGTCTGTGGGAGCAGAAAAACAGACTTTGTTCTTCTTGAGCTCTGTGTCCTGCCTCGAGCTAGGCACTGGGACATACATTATCCCTTTTCAGCTTCATAGCAACCCAGCGAAGTAGGCAGGGCTGCCACGGCTGGTTGGGTAGTTTGTGCACTGCTCAAAGGCTCCTAGTTATGATGGTGAGCCATTAGGTCCCACATCTAGGTAGCAGGCTTGGGAGTTGTACCCCAAGCTATCTAGCTCCCAGTAAAATGGGAATAATATCCGTAGTAGTAAAATGTTCATAAAGTGCCTGATGTCAATGCCCTTCTCTTCCCATCACCCCACTACACACACACACACACACACACACACACACACCAGGAAGTGCAAAAATGTGACAGGTCTGTGTCCCCTGAGAAAATGCAGCAAACTGTGTTTTCTCCAAGTTATAAGAAGGGATCCATTCATCCTTCTATCCATCCATCCAAAGATATTTATTGAGGGCCTCCCATGTTCCAGGCACTGAGCCAGTGGCGGAACAGTCATGGATAAAACAGGCCATAACTCTGGTGTCAGATATGTCACTTTCTGGTGAAGAGAGTGTCACCTGAGCAGAAGAAAGGGTAATGAAGGATCTACGGCTTAAGGCCGGCCTTCCCGGCGGCTGCGCAGTGCTGTGGGCAGACAGCCGGGACACCCAGTAGCCCCAGGAGCGGGGCAGCCTGCAGTCCTGTGAGGACCAGGAGAGGGAGGAGGTCCAGGCCTTTCTACTCCCCGATCAGGGCAGGAGCTGGGAGCTTTGCCTCCTTTTCTTACGTGCTCCTTCCCCGACCCCCAGCTTCTCCTCTCCTCCCGCCGGAGCAGCAGTAGAGAACGGAGATAATTTCTGGTTTCGGAGACCCTGGCTTGGCCCTAGGGCAGCACTGTCCAATAGATAAATAATGCAAGCGACGTATGTCATTTAAAATTTTCTAGTAGCTGTATTAAAAAGGCAAAACATGTATTTTAATCTTTGTATTTAACCAATATATTCAAAATATTATTCCAATTGTCAATATAAAATTATTAATGAAACATATTACATTTTTTCCCACACTAATTCTTCAAAACCTAGTATCTATCTTACACTTCCGGGACATTTTAACTTGCACTAGCCACATGTGAAGGCTCAGGAGCCCCACGTGGCTGTGGCAACCACACCGGACAGCACAGGGGTAGTGTTTCTCCTCCTCTGGATGCAGCAAAGGGCTGGGGTGGGAGGTGGGCTGGCTTCTGCCCAGGTGGATGTGCTGGGGGCCCCCAGGGTCCCAGGTAAGGGCTGGTGATTTGTGGTCATGGTGACCAGACGCCAGTTGGGGCTGGGCTTTCTGCAAGCCTCCCATCCTGAAAATATCCCTGGATCCCGAGGGGTGCTGGGGGTGGGGGATGAAGGAGCAACAGTAGCGGGGGCGCTAGGAGTGGGCGTGGGGTGGCAGGGCTAGGAGTGGGGGGCATGGCAGTGCGAGGGGGGCAGAGCAGGGTAGGGGAGCGCAGCGGGCATGGAGACTGCCCATGCAGAAGAGCAGCCCCAAACAGCCCTCCCCGCTTCCTGTTCACAGAGACTTCAACAACAACGGGACCTCCCAGTGGTGAGTGGATACTCTCCAATTTGATACAGCCGCTCCCTCCCCTTGGCCTGGTGCAGCCAGAGGCCAGCCGCCCTGGGCCCAGCAGAGAAAGCAGTGGTGCCCGGCGGGGAGGGGGCCTTGGCGGCAAGGTGGGCAGTGAAGGAGGAGGCTGGAGGGGGCCAGGAAGCCCTTTCCTCACTGGGTACCAAGGGGGCCTCATTGGGTAGATGCCCTTCTTTTCTCGTATGATTCCCACCACCCCAAGATGACCTACAGACTCAGTAGCTGGGTCATCAGGACCTGCAGGCCATTCCACAGGCCTCATCTAAAACATGTGGCCTCAAGCTCTTCCCCAGGGGCATGTGTGAGATCCCAGGCACCAGAGAACGGGAATGGTGACCTCACCCTCCTGCCCCCTGCCCCCGCTGCGGAAGAAAGGAGCCAAGGCAAGGCCTGTGGGGTTTGTAGCGTAAGCCCTGCACTGGGCTCCTGCTGGGCAGGGAGTCTGCAGAGTTCAAGGTTTGGGCTCTTTGCTGGGACAGGGAGCAGGGTTTGGGATAGCTGCTTGGTTTTGTGTGGGCTTTTTGTTTGGGTTTTTTTTTTTTTGAAACAGCATGTGCACATGCGTGCATGTGGCAGGGGAGGGACGGGGGAGAGGAAGAGAGAATCTTAAGCGGACGCCACACCCAGCTTGGAGCCTGACATGGGGCTCAGTCTCCCGACCCTGAGATCGTGACCTGAGCCGAAATCAAGAGTCAGCCGTTTAACCAACTGAGCCACCCAGGCGCCCCAGGATAGCTGCTTTTATTAAGAGTATTTATTAATAATGTTATTAGGAATGTAATTAGCCATTATTAGCTACCAGTTTTGGAGTTCCTACTGTTTGTCAGATGCTATACAAGGAATTTTGTATACAGCATCTTTAATTCTTAAAGTGTGGGTGTCGTTATCCCATTTTACAGATTAGGAAACTAAGGTTCAGAAAGGTTAAGAGACTTGCCCAAAGCCCAGAGCTGGTCAGTATGGCCTGCCTGGCTCCCTTGTTACTGTGCCCACGGCCCCTATCTTGTCCACTGGGAGAGACCTGGGATGTACATACTGCCTTTTACAAGCGCCTCATTGATCCCCTGATGTGACCAGAGAGAAGTTTCCCAGTGATGGGGAAGAGGGGGGCATCAGGAGAGGAGTCATGGCTGCTGAGCTGCTCGTGGGAGCAGGGGCTGCGATGGGGCTGCCAACCAAGAAGGCTTCCTGGAGAAGGCCCTACCTCAGGCAAAACTTGAGCAGGAGGGTGAAGAGAAGGGGGAGCAGTAGCAGGAGGCAAAAGGCCTGAGGGGGCCTCGGAGCCTGCCATGAAGTGCCAAGGCATCTACCTCCCCCCGCAGCCCTGAGCACGCGACCAAGGTGGCACTGAAGGTGGTGACACCCATCATCATCTCCGTCTTTGTGCTGGCCCTATACTTGCATGCCCAGCAAGTGGAGTCCACCGCCCGCCTGGACTTCCTCTGGAAACTGCAGGTGGGTGGCCTTGGGGCTGGGGTGGGGAGGCACCCAGACCTCACAGCACTTTGTGAGTGAAAAAGTTTGTCACCTGGGCTGGCTGGGCCCTAGTTCTGCACTGATGGGGCACCCTGCTCAGGCCACAGCCCAATTACCCAGTGCTCCATGTCCCAGCAGGTCTGCTCCCTGCTTTTGGGAGCCCAGACACAGAATCCCAGAGCTTATGCCAAACAAACCCACCCTTGACAGTGCTGGGACTTCGGTGGGTCCCAAATATCGACCAGGCATTACTGTGTGCGTCCAGAGGCAGGGACGGGGGCTAGGCATGGCCAGCTCCGGTTTGTGGTGTGGGCAGCAAGGAGTCAGGAGGGTGGGGAGGAAAGAGTGGCAGGAGGTGAGGAGTATGGGGAGCGCAGGCGCCGTGTCATGGAGGCCGCAGTGCGGGAGCTGGCCCACCAGGCTGCTGAGCAGGGCTTGATGTGACCAGAAGTGGCTCTTCCAGGGGAGAATGGACGGAAGGGGCATCAAAGACCCATCGACAGGAAGCCTAAGCAGGTGGATGTGCCCCGGCCCTGGGGAGAGGTGGCCCAGGCAGGGGCAGAGGCAGTGGGGTGCTGGGAGCCCCGCACTCCACCCTCCAGGCTTTGTGCCCTGTGTCCCGATAGTGTCCACCTGGAAGAGGAGATGCCCCTGGGCCACACGCAGGATAATGCTCCAGGTGCTAGCAGGAGACCGAGTTGCTCCTTACCTGCTAGATGGCTTCAGAAGGTCTGGGGAGGGCACCCAAGGGCATTCATGGTGAGAAAGCCGTCTTCCCTGTGGGCAGCCTCAGACCGGTTATTCCAGCCCAGCCTCTTTGCCTCACCTGGCCTGGCCTCTATCTCCAGACCCCTTCTCCAGCTCACCTGCAACTCACTTAGGCCTCCTCCATCCTCAGCTTCTTACTAACACTGAGATTCAAGTCTTCAGGCTGGGGCAGGAGGTCCTGAGTTTTTGTTAAAGATGGGGGCATCCAGTTGCCCCTGTTGCTGGATGTCTTGCATGAGGTTGACTGAGGTCCCCACTGAGCAGATGCCCTGAGGTTGGAGGGAACCTGTTTTGCATGTGGAAGGCCCCTGGTCAGCCCTGGCTTGGGAGGGACCTGGGAGATATCCAGTGTGAGGCTCTACCTTCTTGGCTCAGACTGCTGCCTCCCTGCCTTCTCTTGGCTCTCTCACACCCCTCTCCTCTGGGGAAGCTCCCCGGAGGTGCCAGCTCTCCTAGGGGCTGACCAGGCTCCGTGGGCTCTAGGGCTGATGTCCCTCCACTTCTCTGCACACACACACACCCCACCTCCCACATGAGCTCTGAGGAGGTCCCCTGCGCCCTAGACTGTTGCTGTTGTGCAAGTCAGTTGTGTTGCAGAGATCTCTAGAAAGGGGTGGAAGCAAGGGAAGGGTGAGCCTGCCACTCAGCCTGCCTGTGACCTGCTGCCCTGTCACCCCCGCCCCTGTCTTTGTCTAGCTCCTGAGTGCCCAGGGTCAAAGTGAAGCTGCCTGCCAGGGCTGAGCCGAGCAGCCTGAGGCTTCCTCACAACCCCACCCCAGTGCCCAGGCAACAGCAGCTCCTCTCCCACTTTGAAAACGATTAAGAAGGCCTGTGCACAGATGTGTGGGGGTGGGGCGGTGAGCATGTCTACCTGCCAGGTGTGTTGGCCTCTCTCCACTGAACCCCTGCAACAGGCTTAGGATGCTTATACATCCCTCCATCTCCCGTCCTCCTCCAGGACTTTTGGGAGGGGGGAATAACATACCAATAAGCAAAAACTTGAACACAGGCTCTTGGGATGGGTGAGTGATAATCTGTTGCCCCACCCCTAGACTAACCCAGAAGCCAGTTTTGCTGTTGGATCTTTGGTCCTGGTGGGTGGGTGTGGTGCTGACAGGGAGGTGGGGAAGCCCGAGGTCCTTAGCGTCCCTGAAGCATCTGCATGAGGCATCAAGTCTGCTCCTGGCCAAACCCGTGGGTCTCCGTTCTTGGGAGAGCCCACTCCCGTCCCTCTCCCACAGCACTGACCTTATTGGGCTCAGCAGGGGGGCTGTGGCCCCTGAGTCTTCCTGCCTGGCCAGAGCCCAGTCCTAGAAACAGCTGGTTGTGTTGGGAGCTGCCCAACATCATGTCTCAGGGCAGAGTTGTCCCGATGTGGCAGGAGTTCCTGGGCAGGACTTGGTCTGTGTTCCCAGCAGTTGCCGTGCTCCCAGCGTCCCAACCCTAGCCTCCACCACCACCTGCCTGCCACTGGGCGGATGCGCTAGGGGAGGGCATGTGTTAGGTTTCTGCCACCTGCTGGGCTGATCAAAGGAGCTGCAGGGCCCCTGGGTGCCCAGGCACGGGGTCTCAGCGGGCAGGACTGTAGGCGGCCAGCGCACTTGCAGAGGCAGATGCACCAGCTGGGGCTCCTCCAGGGCGCAGCCCTCCAGAAGCACAGAGATTCCCACTCCAGGTGCTCTGGCACCTCTTTCAGAGCTAGGAGCAGGTGGCCGCGTTTAGGAGTCTCACCTTACCGGGGCCGGAAGGTAGCATATGCCCACTGGGCCCACCTGGCATCCAGGAACTTCCTTAGGCGTGACCCCCATTCTCAAGGCCGTTTCCAGTTGCTCTAGGCGTAATGGGTCCTCTCACTTCAGGTGCAAGGCTAGGCCAGGTCTCTGAGCCTTGGGGTCCCTGCTGGACCCAGGTCCTGTGGCCTTGGCTGGGTGTGCCAGCAGTTTCCCCACGAGCAGCCACCACCTGCCGGGAGCACCAGGGACGTAGTCCCGGCCCTCGCGGAGATCCTTGGTGCGGCCAGGGACGTAGTCATGGCCCTCGAGGAGATCCTTGGTGCAGCCAAATAGAAAGGCCTCCACATTTAATTAGAGAAGGCCCAAGCAGGCTGGCTGGATCTTTTCAACGGCCCTGCTGATGATCCTTTACCTGCCTGTTTTACCAACGTGGTCACTCCCCGTTAGAGGGGCCATTTTGTTTGTCGTCGAGGGGGAAGAAGCCAGCAGACTGCACTCTGTCCCTCCTGTGTCACATGGCTCCTTGCACACCTTAGTGCAGGACTATCTTTGTGTTTCAGCCTGCAGGCCACTGTTGGCCTCTTGATTCGAGGGCTCTGCACTGTCCCTCGTGAGTGACCACAGACCTCAATTTCCCAGACCCAGGACCCAAACTGGGGGAGAACCAAAGTCACTGGTGGTGTCCCCATCCCGCCCCAGGGAGCACTTTGGGGCATCTGCACCTCCTGGCTTTGGGATGTGTGCATGATAATCCATTGCCCCACTCCTAAACTAATCCAGAAGCCAGTTTTGGCTACATTCCCACACCCCAGTGGGAATGTAGGGCCTGGGGTGAAGGATGATGGAGCTGGGCTGGGGCTGTGCTGGAACTGGGGAGAGTGGGCAGGGCTTTAGGACGTTTTCCCGTGAAGTCAGTCTGTTAAAGTCATCAAACTGCATTTCCTGATGCGAAGAGGAAAATGGACACTTGAGGAGCGCTTGGTAGCTGGAGGGCCATTGGTGGGGGATGTGTGGTTTTGGACCATCCCTGTAACCCCGTGCCTCGGTCTAGCATTGGGCAGACAGGGTGCTTTCAGCCTGTCCTCCAGGAGGTTTCCAGTCGGGGGCTCCCTCCTTCGGGGCCCGCGCCCTCCGGTGCGTCACATTCTGAGGGGCAGGCAGGGCAGAGGCGGAGGCATACACGTCTCTCCCTTTTCTCATGGTCGGAGCGCTAGCTGCTCCCTGCGGAGAGCCGCAGGTGGGGACGGGGGGACGGGGGTGCGGGGGGCAGAAAGCCCCTCCCGCTGACCGGGCGCCGCGTCCTAGGCCACAGAGGAGAAGGAGGAGATGGAGGAGCTGCAGGCCTACAACCGGCGGCTGCTGCACAACATCCTGCCCAAGGACGTGGCCGCCCATTTCCTGGCCCGTGAGCGACGCAACGACGAGCTCTACTACCAGTCGTGCGAGTGCGTGGCCGTCATGTTCGCCTCCATCGCCAACTTTTCCGAGTTCTACGTGGAGCTGGAGGCCAACAATGAGGGCGTCGAGTGCCTGCGGCTGCTCAACGAGATCATCGCCGACTTTGATGAGGTGCGGCCAGCGGGGAGCTTGGGCCCCTGGAGCGGGAGGGACGCCAGGGCACCTGAGGGCAGGCCCCTTGCCTGCATTTCCTCCCCTAGCCTGTTACAAAGGAGGAAGCAGGCACACAGATGGGGCTTAGCTCATGGGCAGTAGGTGGCAGGGTGGGCATCAGCCCAGGCCGCTGGGATGGCAAGTCTCTGCGCCGTAGCTGCCCCCTTGAGACCCTGCGCGGCCGTCTTGCCAGTCCTCCCCATTCGCTGCCGCCCCTCTCGTGCCACCTAAGGCTGGGCAGGCCCCAGGGTGGGGCCCAGCTTTTGTGAGAGTCCAAGGAAGGAGGGACTCCCAGGCTAAGGGAGGAGGAAGGACAAAGATGCAAAGCCCTGAACAGCAGGGGCAGAAATACAAACATGCACCCTCGCCAAGTCCCCAGTGTGTGCCAGGCACTGGGTACACTGTGCCCAATAGGCATTTCGACCCTGGGAGCTCACCGAGTGAGGAGTGTGAGGGGGTCAACCCCAGTGGGAATGTAGGGCCTGGGGTGAAGGATGATGGAGCTGGGCTGGGGCTGTGCTGGAAGCAGCCCATGAGGCTCCTGGGGCAGGGGGTAACTGAAGTTGGCTGAAATGGGTCTGGGCAGGCTTCTGGCTGGCGGGGCCTGGAGACAGAAGAAGGGGGTCCCTGGGAGGGATGGGGATGTGAGCCAGAGAAGGGGGGAGATGGCCACCAGCCCCTATTGGGGACAAGGGGCTCTGAAGTGACTAGAGAGCTGGCCCAGGGCTCTGGGTGCAGGGCGGAGGGTAGCACCCAGCCACCACACATGGGTGAGTACTGGAGGCGGCCTGCTCTGTCTTGCACCGAGTTGGCGTGCAGATGGGCCCCCTGTGTGAACAAGGGGGGGCATATGGGGCCATGCTGCCACCCTTCCCTGTAGACCTCAGTGCCCCAGCCTTGGTGGAGACCCAGATTTGGCCTCCTTCCATCCAGATCATCAGCGAGGATCGGTTCAGGCAGCTGGAAAAGATCAAGACCATTGGCAGCACCTACATGGCCGCCTCAGGCCTCAACGATTCTACATATGACAAGGTGGGCAAGACCCACATCAAAGCCCTGGCCGACTTTGCCATGAAGCTCATGGATCAAATGAAGTACATCAATGAACACTCCTTCAACAACTTCCAGATGAAGATCGGTGAGCTTGGCTTCCGACCAGTCGGGCCTGGGAATAGCAGGTGGGGTGAAAAGCTCCATGTGGCTTGGCAGGACCGAAGAGGAGGGCTGTGGAGGACAGTGTCTTATGGATGGACAAAACTGCTATTTGGGAGATTCTGTAGTGTGTGTGGTCCCACGTCTCACACAACAGTGAGGCTTCATGCAGCCCCCTGTGAGAGAGACCATTTCTGTGCTAAGAGGGAGCACCCAGGGGCGTGGAGACGTGGCAGAGAATGTCTAGACGATGTCAGTTGAGCCAGGTGTGTTGGGGAAGGCTCTTGCCTGGAGCGGAGGGGAAGCAGCAGAGCGAAAGTGGAGTGGCAGGGTGATCGGGGTTGGTGTGGGTAAGACTGGGACGGTAGATAGACTAGAGCAGATGTGCCAGGAGCGAGACAGGGAGCCCGCGTGGAGGGCAGCAGCCTTGCTTCCTGGAGCTGGGTCACGGCGACATCCCTGCGCTAGCTCAGACAGACACCCAGGACAGAGAGGAGACTGTGAGCTAGGAGCTAGGTTCTGAGAAAAAGAATGGTGGTGCCCCTGATAGAAACAGAGGAGGTAGGAGGAAGAAAGTCTGAACTGACAGTGCAAACTTAAATGCCACTGAGAGGGGTGGTTAAGGAAAGGCAACTGGATGATGCTGCAGGTCACTGGACACTTGAAGAGGGCGGTCCTGGTGATGGACTGCAGGAGCGGCAAGTACTCAGGAGCAGTGCTGTGTGAACGCACCTCTGTGGTCTGGGTTAGCGGGCATTTGATGGCAGCAGCGGAGTGGGAGCCGCAGGGCTAAGCATGGCCTCAGGCCCAGAGGACCTTGAGCGTCAGGGAGGAATGATAGGGTGAGCGCTGGTCTGAGCCCTGACGAACGTGCTGACGTCTGTCCCCTACAGGGCTCAACATCGGCCCCGTGGTGGCCGGGGTGATCGGGGCTCGCAAGCCTCAGTACGACATCTGGGGCAACACGGTGAACGTGGCCAGCCGCATGGACAGCACCGGTGTGCCTGACCGCATCCAGGTGAGTGCCGGCGCATCCACCGCCCACCTCACCCACATGGCCGGGGCGGGGCTCTGTCTGACGCTGCATGGGCTTGGGGGCAGGCCGCCCACAGTTCCCAGCCAGAATTTCTGCAGCCAAATTTGAAGGTGGTTGCGGCTCCGTCTTGGGAGCTCGGAAAACACAATTGTGTTTCAAGCCCTCAGGACCTTGGACAGATCTTCACTCCTGTGCCAAGCCCTCTACTGGCCACAGAAGGAAAGGGGGGCGTCTAGGCGGGAGCCACCGCCGATGCTAAGCCAGGAGTGCTCATGCCACAACCCACACATACAAGGGGACACAAAGATGGCTGCAGGGAGCAAGGTCTTGCCTAATGGAGCACTCGGGGCCTGGTTCAGGAGAACTAGGCAAGGCCACTCGTCCCCCTGGGATGGTACCCCCAGCAGCCAAGGGGGCTGGCCAGAGACCCAGAGACTTTGGCTCCTCTCTATCCTTTGCAAGCTGGCTCTTGTGATGCCCAGGCCTGCCTCTCTTCAGCTGCTTTTTCTCAGGCCTTCCTCGATTTCCTCTGCTCCAATCTGACAACAGCGAGGCCCTGGACGGGGCTCTCTTCCTGTACCCTCCACCCCCCCCAGTGCCCCATGAGGCCGTGGGTAGGTCACTTAGTTTTCCTGGCCTCCATTTTCCCAAGTTTGAACTGTGCTCTCTTTACGGCCCTCTGCTCGCACTGACACTGCTTAAATGTCCCTTAAATTCTCTCTCCTGCGGGACCTCTGAACAAAGGGTCAGCCCAAAGCATTGCCCTGGCCAGATCAGCCAGGCCTGGCTGGCGTGCCGATGCTGTCGGAGGGACCGACCAAATGGCTTTCTTGTGCCAAGAGGAGAAGGGACAGCAAGATAGGAGATGGGGGGAGAGGCACGTGTGTGCAGAGCTTCTGGCCCCACCCACAGACAAGTGAAGGACTCTGTGCAACCACACAGTGGCCTGGCACCTCACCTTCGCATAGGGCATTCCCTTGATCACACAGCAGGGTCACCTTCCCGCAGCCCAGCCAGAGATTCACGGCCTGCCAGCCAGGCGGGGCCAGGATCCTCAGCAGGGGTGTTGCGGGGTGTGCTCAGATAGCTGTTGGGTCACCTCGCGAGACGCGCGCTTGTATTGCTGCTCCGGTCAGCCTGCTTTCTCCTCCGCCCGGCAAGAGTGCAGTGATGACTGGAGCCACCGGTGGGGTCCCCTCTCTGTTCCAAAAGCTACAGCAGATGGGCAGTCGGACGCAGACCTGAGTCCAGGCTCTGCCATTTGTAGCGACGTAACCTCAGGGAAGGGACTTAGGTTGTCTGAGCCTGAGATAAAAGCGCTTTCCTCACAGATTAAATGAGAGAAGCAGTGGCTCCCAACCTACCTGCCGTGGAGTGAGACTTGAGTGAGCGCACTGGTCGCGTGCTCGGTCTCGATGGCAGCAGGGTCAGATTGCTATGGACGCGCCCAAGCACTTCCGCCCAGCTTCTGCGCTTCTCAGTGGGGACAGGGACGGGCAGTTCAGGGGCCATGAGCCACACTTTGAGCAGCAGAATAGCACAGGTGAGTGGCTGGCCACACTGCCTGGCACGGAGTAGGTGCTGCCACTCTTCCGGTTGCCAGCAGGCAGTACGAGCGGCTCTCAGTCCCTGGGAGCCCCTGCCCGGGAGGTGCTGCCCACCGTCTGTGGTGGGGACAGTCAGGCAGAGCCACCGGTCAGTGGACTCACGGCTTAACCATGACCTATCCTTTCTCCTCCGTTGCCTCCTCAGGTCACCACGGACATGTACCAGGTGCTGGCTGCCAACACATACCAGCTGGAGTGCAGGGGTGTGGTCAAGGTCAAGGGCAAAGGCGAGATGATGACCTACTTCCTCAACGGGGGGCCCCCGCTCAGTTAGCAGCTGCCACCTGGTGATGCCAGGCAGCCTGGCCTCCAGAGAAACGGAAATGGCTTCTTTGGGTGCCAGTGGGCCGGTGGAAGCCTGCGCTCTAGCCCACGTGGCTGCACCAGTGAGATTTTCCACTTTGACTCCAGAAGCAGCTTCTGCCTTTGTGGGCAGGCAGCCGCCTCCGTCCCAGGCCCCGGGGTGCCAGGGTCCTGCAAGCGCCAAGCTGACCAAAGATGTTTCCTCCGTAGAAGACTCCACTAGGCGTGATCTGAATCTCGAGTTTTCTAACGGGCGCTGCTGCTGCATGGGTAGAAAGGGGCTGCCGGAGCTCTTACGGTGCGGGGCAGCCCGGCGTGTGACGACAGGGCTGAGGGGGAGGCCTCGGCCTGGGGCGGGTGGGATAAGGCGCGACTCCAGCCCCCAGGAACCTAGGGGCCTCGGGGGTCCGCTTTCCCATGTGAGCCTTTCAACTGCCGACAGAGACCACGGCCCCTGCCCCATGGAGGGGCTTTCTGGCAGGAGGGCGGGCTGTGGACGGACTTCGGTCTTCTCCACAGTCCTCCTCCCGCACCTCTTCGAGGGGAACAGAGTGAATTGCGAAGGGGAGGCGAGAGGACTCGAGGCAAGGAGGGGTGGTTCTGAGAAAAAGAATATTTATTAAATAAAACAACTTTCTGTGCCCTTTAGACTATGCTAGTTGTATGCGTATGAGAGACCCACAAGCAAACGAAGATGCCACTGGGGTGGGAGGGCGGGGATCCCAACGTGTCTTTTTTGTATTTTTTATTTTTTATTATTGAAATCCTTGGAGACCTAACAAATATACTGAATTCTATATTTTGTAAATGATATTAGAAAACAGCTGTGCCCAGCATTTGTACTGTACGTATGTCAGCGTGTGGACTGGTGTAGGTGTGTGTGCGCTTAGGCTGTGGAACTGGTCACATACAGGATGCCTGGTGCCCTCACCGCGGACGAGGCAGTTTGGGCTTTTCCCAGGTCCAGCCAGAGCAGCAGCATGTGTCCTTTTGGGGTGCCCTACATTCAGATTAAGTGGGAAGATGCACGCATACATTACCCCATCTCTCTAACACATCACTTCCCTTCAGTTAAATGCAAGTGGATAATAAAACAAAAAGCTGTTTTCCCATCTCACGCCCCGCTGGAGCCTGCGGCAAACCACTGTCCCCTCCTCCGTTCCCTGAGATGTCAGCCATTTGCTGCCTGCAGAGACGCAGCCCTGAGCGCTCAGGGACGGCCACGGGCGCTCAGCTGCTGTGGGGGTGGTAGGAAGCCTTACCTGCCTGCCTTGCTCGGCTGGCTACTGTGCAGGTGGCTCTCCCAGAGATAAGGCCTCAGACTTGGGGTAACAGTGCAGCCCTCAGGTTCAGGGAGGGTGGTGGCTTTGCTCTCCATCTGCAGACCAGACAGAGAAAAGGGGGAGAGCCCAGCTTCAACGTCCAAAGGGCAAAGCTAGCAGAAATTTTGTTTTGTCTGGTTTTTGTTTGTTTTGGGGGGAGGGGGCAGTTAAATATATAGGAAAAAATTATTTCTTATACCCTACAAGGGTATAAAATGGAAATAGGCATGAAAGTGAAAAACGATCATCACAGAGATATATTCAAACAGAATCCTTGGGTTCTGTGCCCAGATCTTTCTGTTGCTTCTCAGGGCAGAATTCTTCTCACCTCCAACATGAGCCTGAAGGAGGGGGGGCGCAGCTATATACCAGCTGCGAGATGTTACTTTGATGCCGCCCTGCACCGCCTCTCACTGCACCCTAGCGCCGGCCTCCCCGTTCCACACACCATCTCTCACCCCAGCTTGAGCACCTCTCTGAGAAGCAAAGCTTACAGACCTAAAACTGCCAGCCCAAGTCTGTCCATGCTTCTGCTGCTCTATCCTTTGAGTTCTGCATCGCCCCCCCTTTGCATCTGTTGGGCGGGCTGGCTTTCTCCATGGTGGTGTTCTCAAGTCCCCTGCCCCTCCATAGTGCCTGCCAGTGGTGCCGGGTGTTAATTTTGCTTCCAACCTGAGTAACGTATGTGTGCTGAGTTCCTCCGGTGGTCCCCCCGTTGGTTACGGTCTCCTCGGCCTCTTGGGGGCCCATCCCTCCTATCTCAGCAGTGACTGGTGACACCGTGCAGTGCTAGCTCTTCATTCCCTCCAAGGGTGTGCACTCTTTTTATTCCTGCTCTTGCAAAAACAGATACGATTATGATTTCCCATGGAAATTTAAAAAGTCTATTTAAATAATTTAACTATTAAACACTTTCACTGGTAACGTGTCCTGGTCTGATTTGCGGCTTGGGCCATGGGCCTGGTTCCAGTTCAAAGAATAGTGCACTTGGCCCTTGGTGGGGCACTGGGGAGGGAGCCCCAGAAGGCAGAGCCCCACTCTGGGTGGGGAACGGTACACTGCTACGGAGAGAATGTTGGCTAAGGACTGCGGTCATTGTGGCAATCAGGTGAGAGGATGTTCGTGTTCTTGGCAAGAGGTAGTTCACTGGACTGAGGAGCGGGTACCAGGATGCAGGAGGCTGAGGAATGAGGAGAGACCCCAGGAGTGAAAGGGGACAAGGGATCAAGGATGGTACCAGGAAAGATCCAGGGATGAGAAGAGGATGTTTTAAAACAGGTGAGCCAACCTGGTTTCTATGCTAAGGGGGGAAAGAAAGTAGAAAAGACAAGGACACCGATCCCGGAAGGGACCCAAGTAGCAGGGAGAGGAGAGATGCTGGCTGGAGGGATACTGATTTGACCTGGATAGCTAATAACCATGGCTACCATCTACTGGACACTCTGTGTGGCAGACACCGGGATAAGCACCATACAAACTTTATCTCCTTTGTTCCTCCTGGCCACCACATGTCACTGATGAACACACAGAGATTGAATTATTTGCCTGACTCACACAACTGGTAATTAAGAGATGAGATTCAAAGCAGGCCTGTCTGCTAAGCTCATGCAGGTAACTTCGTGAGTTGTCCTCCGTGCCCCAGGACGACTCTTACCTCGCTCGACGAAAGGAAAGGTGGTAGGAAAACAGTGCCTGCCTGCCACACCCATCAAATGCAGGGTTCTATTTGGGTTCAGGAAATAAGACCAGGGCGCTTGGTGACGTGAAAATGAAGGAGCCAGGGAAAAAGACTTCACTGGGTTCATTGCAACAATGGCCACGCGGGGGCACAGGTATGGCAGTCCTGCTCAGAGGCAGGCCCCCTGCTCCAAGGAATTGGGACAGCATTGGTGAGGAGTCCACTGTCTATGGTGTAGGATGCAACTGTATAGAGCTCATGTTTGACTCTCAGAACTTTTTAGGCTGGGGTCCATCAATTAGAAAAGGAAACCAAATGAAAAGGCCAACCTTCAGGGGCTGATTAGACTAAGGTAGCATGTCAGCTCCTGAAGAATCCCCACCCTGCTGTGACGAGTGGGGGGGCAAGCCTCAGGCAGGCCCAGGAAACCGCGTGCACATACGTGCACACCCAGTGCACACCAGGGCAGCCAAGGAATGCAACTCAGAACTTCCACGAGCCCGACCCCTTCCCACCTCCATTGAGCTCATTCCAGAGAACACATCTCTTTCTCCCTTAGAGATTTATACTTTTTCGCAAAAGCATATCCATACCTGGGATGTTAATTAGCAAAACTTACTAGCAAAGACACCATTGATAGGTGTAGTGAGTTCCGGACAGCGCTTTAACATCCACTGACAGCAAAGACTGGACTTCAGCCAGCACGGTGATGATTTGATTGTAGAGCGGGGTTAGCAACATTGTGGGAAGGCACGGTGAAGCCTGGCGCACTGAGGAAGCTGAAGCTACATATTCACCAGGCAGTCGTGTTAAAGACTTTGAAAAATACATTTACAGAACTTTTCCAAAAGCAAGTATCACCTGAGTGGCATATAGTCGAATGATGCCCAGAGCTGTGGTTTTTACATGATAAAAATTACTTTCCATCACGTTGCAACCTCACCACGAGTTGCTAATTAGCAGAAACTGAGCCTCTAGAGCTTGGAAAAGATGCTGAGCCCAAATCACTGCAGGGCAGGACAGTATTCTCGGGCGCTGGGATGTACGATGCTGAGAAGGAAGGTGCCGAGCAGATCCTCGCCGCCACCTGAACAAGAGGAGGCAGTGGCGGGGACACACTGTGGAAAACCCACAGCTTTTCAATTTGTCTAAATCAAAACAATTCCTCACTGAAGACAACAAATGCTGCACAGATTGTTTCCTGAAGGAAGGGGCTGTTAGTCTGGGCCGTGCTGGCCGTGGCAAGGTACCACTTAGCGCAGGGGTCAGCAGGAGTGGGAAGGGCTGGTGTGATCTGTGGGGATGGGTCAGGGGAGGGCACAACAGACCGGAGAACACCATGCCCCCACACCCTGCCTCCGGACGAACTTCATCCAGTGTATAAAGAGCTTTCCCATACACGTTCTCACTTGTGCTTGCCCCCAGGCCCAGGAGGCAGTGGGAGAAAGGACGGGCCCATCTCCTAGGCTGCTCTGATCCCCCCGGGCAAAAGCAACGGCTCTAGCCCACAGGCACTTCTGCCCATTGTGCCTACCTGGCTGGGCACTCATGATCCTGCAGGGACAGAGGGCCTGCCACTTCTCAAGGTTGACAACAGATGAACTGAGGTCCACTTACTATACTACTATAGCTTTTCTGAGCCTTTCAGATTTTCAAAAAAGCCCTTTGGTGGGGTGCCCCCCGCCACCGTCTTAGAATGAAAAAAACATGGTATTTGCTGTCCTCTTCTTGCGTCTCTTTCCTTCCCACTGGCAGGGTCACTGCTTCTCAAGACAGACACAAGAACAAAGCCAAGTCAGGCCACTGGAATGGCTGACCTCCGAGGCTCCTTTCTCCTCTGGCATTCTCAGATTCTAAATATTTGTGGGACCCGGTCCAAATCTTCAAGTGCCAGACCACAAGTATGGTACAAACACAAACACAATCGAATTAGGATTTTAAGATTTTAAAGCCGAAGGCAGACAAATGAGATAAGCAGCATCACACCAGGGGGGATCTGCGGGAAGGTCACCTGCAAGCCAAAGTGGCCAAGCCTTCGCTCAGGCCCCCTCCGGGCAGCGCACCAGCAGGAGTGGCCGGCGGCCTTGCCCACCACGGGCCCCGGGCCATGCAGTGCGGAGGGCCAGGTGCTCAGTCTCGGTTCACAGGCCCAGCAGGAGGGCCGGAAGGTGGGATGCAGGGGAAAGACAATAAAGAGAAGGAAGAGCATTGTCTAGGGCTGAGGGTAAAGTAGGCACCCCGTCCCCACTGGCCTGCCAGCCCTACACCTCACCCACCCGTCTGTTTCTAGTGAACGCAACGGAGCCACCCCCTCACTTGCTGAATGCATCTTCATCCTCAAGGCCCCTTTCCTATTGCTGGTCTGTTAGGCCTGTGAATTAAAGAGTTTTCACTGGAGTCCATGAGGGGCCTCATCACTTTTTCTCCCTCTCAGCCAATTTCTAATTTAGACCTGCCTGGAATCTCTGGTTTGTCAGCATCTCTATTCCCAATTTTGCAAAATTTGCTTCTGTGCTTTGACTTTGTCAGTTAGCTAGACTGGCACTTCCTGGCTCATGTGGGATTTTTTTTTTTTTTTTGGAGGGCTGCATTTTGCATCAGACTAATCTTTTAAAAGCCATGTTGCATTTGCACTTTTTAAGAGTGC